AATATGATCTTTAATTCTGGTACCTCAGTTTACCTGCGCATATCCCCACAACAGAAGTAACAGTTCTTTAGTTCAATATGAAGAAAGAACGTATACATAATGCAAAAGTATAGAAAAAAAGCACTAGATGAGCCATATTAGCTGGGGATGTTGAAACAACTTGCTAACAATCAGGGCAAACAAGTTACAAAAAAGTTCCCAAATCTTTGAAGGTGAAGACTCTTCATGTGTTTACATTCTCTACAACTGTTCTAGGCTACTTAATACAATGCAGCATGTTACTACATAAAAGATACTAGAAATAAGCTCAATTTAAAATTGATGTGATGCTTCATTATGTAACTGAGAAAACCAAAATAAAGTGCAAAAACACATTTAGGCTTTAGGTTTATTTTCCTATATGCAAAACAATGAGACCTGCTGTCTCATCTGGGAGCCCTCCGATATGAAGATAAAAAAAAAAACTTTGCATCTGACAGAAGCTTTCAATTGTATCAATTTTATCAATGCTACAGTGATACACAGAAACACTGAAGCCAAAACACAAACAGCACAACAATATTACTGTTCTCTTTTTTATTTTTTTGCTTTGCAAATTATTAGTCAACAGATAAGAATACAGCAACACCATTGTCAAACCCTGCTGAGAGGAAGTGACAGTACAGTTAGGACACTAATTTAAATATAATTTATTTGTACAGAAGTTCACAGGAAACAGGAGTGGGTAAATGCTGGGTAAAAAAAAAAGTTCTGCTATTGCCTTACTAACCTCAGAAATACAGGTGTTTGTATCACTTCGGCTCACCACGGAAAGGTATGTCACTTTAACTTTGTCATAGTTGCCAAGATTTAAATTAAAGGATTAAAAGAATGGTTGGAGAACACCAAACACACAACAATGTGGGAGTCCAAACTAAATAAAGAATGTAAATGATTAGTGGAAAAACTCCTTCACAGCCATCAGACTACAATAATGTCAGCTAAGTTAATATCTATAGAGTGATAAATCGATGGATAGGTAAAAATAACTATAACCAAAACACTAGATGAGCCATATTAGCTAGAGATGTTGAAACAGCTTGCTAACAATCAGGGCCTACCAGACACATGCCCAGGGGCCATGTCTTGTTTATTCTGAATTGCTGCCTGTACTGTTTGACAAGCACAGTGCAAGAATTCATTAAAGCTAACTTAACTCTGGTAGATGCTGTTTCACAAACATAACTTGTATACACCACTGCCTTACCATTTAAAAAGTCAAGGCAATGCATCTGTAATCTGAAATCAGCCTTATTTCAGTTCTGTTTTATCTCGAGGGCTCTCACAAGTCAGACACTCATTTCAGAATCATTCCACTCAGGCCCAAGCGCTGCAGTCATCAGTCATGTGGAATTATCCTGGAATGAGCACCGTTCCTCCCTAGAGGACAACAGCACTGCTGAGTAATGATTGTTCTGTTCCCATCTAGATTCAGTTCTGATTTAGCTCATGAAGGGCTTCCTAATTAACTGACGAGTTGAATCAGGTGTGTTAAAGTGAGGGAAACACAGGACTTGGAGTGATGAACGGTGCTCTGAAGCAGTGGATCTCAACCATTTTGAGCCTTGACCTCTTTTCCCTCCCTTCCCTGTTTTAAAGGTGGTGAACAAAGCCCCTGGAGGGCCGTTATCCAGCAGAGTCTGGTGACTTTTCTGCTCTTAACACACCAAAAACACTGGCAATTAGCTGCTGAGTTGGATCAGTTATGTTTGAGTAGGAAAACCACCAAACTGTGCAGGAATCCAGCCCTCCAGGACTGAAGTTTGCCAGCACAGACTCAGTGGTGGTGATAGGAATCAGGGGTATGCAAATGGACTGACGGCTATAGCCAAATTTGGACCATGTGAACCTGCTATTATGGAAAGCAGGGGAGAAAATTTGTTTAATATTGCGTGCAGAGAGATGGAAAGAATTTTTCCACCTACAACGATGATACCATTGGCCTAAAACTGAAGTAGCTATTTCATGGATCTTACATTACAGGTATAGATTTTATACAAAGGCCTACAAAGTATATATATTTATTTTGTAGTGTTGGCGCAGAGCAAGATGTGGGCAAGGCCATGATTTCACCACGAGAAGTGCTCTTTATTAAACACCATGGCAGAAAGGCAAATGCAAATCACTGAAACCCACGAGGGACGTCACCGCCAGCCACAGGATTTGTTCTGACTGTAGACAAACCCAAACACAAAACACACAAAAGCAAAAGTTGTAGACCAACACACAACAACACAAACAACAAATACACATACATTTAAACTAACAAATAACATTTAAAAAACAACAACATTGAACCAACTCCAGTTCCACTCTTGCTGTGCCCACTCATAATCACACAAACCTGCAGGTAGCTTCTGGACTCCTTGTGTCTAGTATGTTTACTGCACTGTTTGCATCATTTCCTTTTGTTCATTGTTTTCTCTAGTTTTTAAATTATGTATTTGCGTAGTTTATTCTTGTCTGCTGTGATGACCAGTGTTGGAAGTCCCCAAATAAAGCTGCTTAGCTGCTCATTACAGATTCTACACTTTTAACTCTGACATTTTCTGCCAGTTTTGTGGATTTTGTCTGCAGTAAGTAGTAAATCTATTTCTAGGTGTAAACACTGTTATTTCAACAAGACTCTACTCGAGTAGAGGTAACAGAAAAACTACTCTGAGATATTACAAGCAAAAATATTCAACTTTCTCATTACTTCTACTTAGAGCCTATATAAACATACGATTAGCAAACTGACCTGAAAGTTGTTGTGAAGTTCAAAGACGTGTACATTAATAGGTCAGGAAAGGCCAGATCAACAGATGGGAATGTAGGGGAGTATGACTCTGAAACATTAAAGGGAAAATAAAAGTAATGACCAACTCACTGAGATCTAATTCTGCACAAAAAAGAATGCATATATACAGAATGATGGGCACCATGTTCTGTTTCACTGTGTAAAGTACAATATAATAAACACATCCTCTGTGCCAACACTAGAAGTTAAAAGTAAGCTCTGCTGTCCTATCTATCTGTATATCCATCCATCCATCCATTCATTAATTTGAACAGGGGATGTTTTCTGTCTCATACTCCCCCTACTGGACCTGCATGGTAACTCACATGGCTAGGCTATGTGCTCATTTTTGTTTTTCTTCACCTTGCATCATGCTTTACAAGCCACCTGTTTCAGGATATACCTAATTCTAGGCTCATGAGTGTAGTACATGGGCCTTGCCGCATGGTGGTTGCGAGATGTGTTTAGTCTCTGTTTTCTGTTTTATTCTGTTTTCTCATTCTAGTAAAGTTTTGTTCTGTGTTTAGCATGCCTTCTGTCTGTTTAACTTAATTCTACCATGATTGTGTCTTCTGGTTTTCTAACTCTGAACTGTTCCCACTCTAATTCATGGACCACCTACATTAAACCTCTCTCGCAAATCCATCTTGCTTCAACTCAATCATTATTTTTACATTCACAGATATTTTTAATCAATCAAAAAATAAATGCTTGGATCAAGGGCATTTACTAAAACCTAACTTTTTTAAAGCTTGACTTTATCTTTCATGCTTTTACTCTTTGATTCTATAATAACAGACCTGGTGACACCTCTTGTTCAGCTTCTGAATACACATTCTCCAGCTATTCTAGTCTCCTACCTATTACTCTTCCCTTCTTAGGCCCTAGCTCTCCTCCCATTTCACATCTCTTCTTCTTTTTGTTGAAGCTGAAGGAACAGAACACTCTGCATGTTTTAGCAACAGTACCTTTACAAATGAATCTAGGCCTCTATCCAGGTGTTTTCATTGCAGACCTTATTATCAATTTAATTTACTTTGACTTAAATAACATCAGGAATTCACCCACACAAAACAGTTAATTCACAACTTAACTTTGTCCTTAAACCTATTTGGTTAGTATAGGTTTGGTTTTTATTTAGTGTGAGTTTATTAAAAACTAAAAAGTGGAAAATGGAACTTTGAGTATTTTGAGCAGTAGCTGTCCCTGCTGTAGGCAGTATCTGCAATTGGCTCAGGCAGCAACTTCTCAGTTGCTTTGCACTCTTCATTTAACAGTGTTGCTTACAGGTTACCTCCCCAGATTCCCCAACAGTGTGATACACAGCATGAGTGCAGGTGACTGGCTGCATTCAAATAAATGAAACTTAATTTTACATGTGATTTATGTGATTTTATCTGATCTGTAACCCATGAAGTATTATATTTGCACAAATTACTCACCTGACCTACTGGCAAGGGCAATGCAAGTTTATTTGTATAGCACCTTTCATGCACAGTGACATTTCAAAGCGCTTAACACAGAAAAATAAAAGCATTAGATAATAATACAGCTTATAACATTCCTGAGATCCTGAGACCTCAGAAAGGCTTTTGCAAGGATTGTTACAAAGACACAAGAAATGCATATGAAGACATGCAATTGTGATTGCACACGAGTCATATCCAGCACTCCAAGTGAGGAAGAGCACCAAAGTTACCGCTTTCAACCACTGAATAGCAGCCGTAACTGAACAAAATCTTACATCGAAGTAAAACTTATCTCTAATCTGTAAATCAATGCTTGGGATATTCATGCTAGCAAAAACACCTTTAAAGTTTCTCTCTACGTTTCAATGTGGTCTAAAAATGGCTGCATTTGGAGCATATCTGACCTCATCTGGGAGTTTGTTTCATCAGTTAGCAGTGTAGCCATAATAATACTGATTTTGACTATTTTTAATTTTTTTTTTTATTTGAATATTATTTTGCATCACTATTGTGAACTTCACTAAGCTTTACTAAGAGTCTTTGTGGAATGATAAATGAATATTACTGTGAAATATCTGAGTTTCTAACTAATTTCAATGTGTATGGTTTTTATGAGTTTCCCCCCTTGCTGGTTGTAGATGGGGCATTAATTGGTGCAACACAATGCCTGTGTATTGTGTGCTTTCCCAGTAAATCGCCAAAAGCATTGTGAATGCTGAACGGGTAAGCAGGCGATTTCACTCTCTCCCATATAGTTCTCTTTCTAAGAATAAAAAGAGGTCTTTTAGTCATTGCTAAAGATATAAACACTACATTGTGAAGTCGCAGCACTGTTGTACGTGTATATGTAATGTTCTTTCCAAACTTTTAAGTGTAAACAGGGCTTTTAATGTACTGCATGCACATCGTTTTTTTATGCCTCGTGCAGGCAAGAGAGACGGAGAGAGAGAGCGCGTCTGCGTATGTGCATTAATCCTGCCCCATGTCTCATGTGTTGAGGTATGTTTTACTGTTGAATTTGTACTGTTTAAACTAGTTCGTTTGGAGTTTTGGCAAATTTTAATGGTTTGCTCACTGTGTGATTATAGTTTTTCAATTTCGACGCCTCTTTCTGTTGTAGCCTTTCAGCGTTTCAGTCAGCCTAGATTTTGCGATTTTGCTCAGTTAAATATAGTTACAGTGCATGAGTGTACATCTAATGTGAACTTTTTATTTACACTGATAATTATTCACATTGTCATGTCGATCTAACAATACTGTTTACATTTAGGTTTTTTTCACAGTTTTCCAGTTTTATTGTCTTTATGTATATGTATGCATATGCATCTTTGAAAAAAGCATTGTGAATGCTGAACGGGAGAGAGAGAGAGAGAGAGAGAGAGAGAGAGAGAGAGCGAGAGAGCGCGTCTGCGTATGTACACTAATCCTGCCCCATGTCTCATGTGTTCAGAAATAAACGACACGGAGCTCCATATCCCTGTGTGCGGTGTGGCTGTTTGAACTGTCCTGATCTACTTTTCCGGCCTTGTTAATGTCTGCTACAGCAGCATAGTCACTGAACGCTGCCTCACCCTCTTTGGTTCTGATTCTGTGAACTACTAACTGACCAGTCCAGAGTGATCAGAGAGAGCTACTGGAAGAGAGAGCTTCATATACTTCCAGCAATGTATTTTGGTTCACGGCTATTCAGTGATTTATACACAATTAGAAGCACTTTAAAGTCAATTCTGTACTGAGTTGGTAGCCAGTGCAGTGACCTGAGGATTGGAGCAATGTGCTTGGATCTCTTATTCTTTTTCTTATTGGATCTCTTAGCATACTAGCAGCTGCATTTTGAATAAGCTGTAGGTGTCTGATTGTAGTTTTCGGAAGGCCAGTAAAGAGACAACTGGAGTAGTCCAGCCTTCTGGAGATAAATGCATGAATTAGTTTTTCTTGGTCTTGTTGTGACATACATTTTTTTAAAGTTTTAAATGTTCTTGAGATGGTAAAAGACTGCTTTCGTTATTGCTTTTACATGGCTGACGAAATTCAGTTCTGAATCCGTTGTTATTCCAAGATTTCTGACTTAATCTTTAGGCTTTAGAGCTCTGGCATCAAGATGAGCGCTGACATTGAGTCTTTGCTCCTTACTACCAAATACAATTACCTCTGTCTTTTCTTTATTTAGTTGGAGAAAGCTTTCTTTCATCCAGTCATATACTGACTTCAGGTAATGACATAATGTCAACATTTCTCTTTTAGGTTCATAGTTTTTGTTTGCAATGATGTAGCTCCTATCTTCCAAATATGATTGGAACCAGGGCCTAGCTAGTTTTCAAGTCAGTCTAAAATAATGTTATGACTGATGGTATCAAATGCAGCGCTAAGATTAAGAAATGCTAGCACAGATATTTTGCCAGCATCTGTGATCATACAAATATCATTTAAATCCTTTATTCATAATTTTGCCTATGAATGGAAGATTAGAAATAGGTCTATAATTGTTAAGGTAGGAGACATCTAGATTGTTTAGACTTTTTTAGCAACTTGGGTGGTCTGTAAATTGTTATTAATAAAATCTGTTTAGTTCAGTACTGAGGTATTCAAAAGAGAAGTCCCCAAAGGCTAACTGTTCTCGCTGAAATGTACTTTTAAAAATAGCCGCTATCCCACCACCTCTATTAGCACTGCATACATTCATAGAACTAAAGATTGGTAGAAAACGGTCAGTTGCACTGTTGCAGTAGTCTAGCCAGGTTTCAGTCAGAAACATGAAGTCTAGTTTATGTGAAGTAATAAGATCATTAACTATAAAAGGTTTGTTTGTAAGTGACTTAGTATTCAGTAGTGTTAGATTCATAATTGTGGACTTGGGCTTCAAATCAAATATATGCTGTAAAGCAACAGCTGTCAGAATAGGTTGACCTACAGAGCGACTTAAATGACATTTGATGTTATCTAGTCTAGAATGTCAGAAAAGTCCAGTGTCCACACAAGGTAGATATCAAGGTAATGTAGCTCACAGTGATTGACTGACATTAGCAGGCTAGCTCTAGCCAGCTATCAGTAACTGCCTTACAAGTTTTGAAAGGAGTTTAGGGATAACTTTCCATCTCATCCATTCCATTGTCTTGGTTTTAATGTTGTTTATTGAAGTCTTACAGCACATTTACAAGGTGCAAAGGCCACAAAGGCAGCATGGACATGATTTGACTAATTCAATAAAACAGTCCAGATGTACATCTGCATCATAAAGGACAAAGAAAGCAGGAGAGTCTGATTAATACTGAATACAGATGAAGTATTTCCTTCTACTGTTCAGGTCTGTTGATTTGAAAATAATTGGTTAGACACTAATCAGCATTTTCCCCTTTGGACTTGAGTCACTTCTTCTTCACTTGCTGTAGTGGTGCCTGCTCTGCATATTCGGGTGTGACAGATTTGTCCATCCTGTAGGCTCCAATACCCATGTTGGATCACACTGCAAACAGCAACCAACAGACCACTAGGTGAGACCTAGCATCTCTTCATACTTCTTTAAGCTGTTTTTATCTTTGATGATTAGTTAGTGAATTCAGCTCCTGCTTTGAGAATACATTTATCACCTCAAAGAATATATTTATGATGTCAAAATTTAAGTACTTGAATAACTAATGCTACTCTTTGTGATGTTTACATTGAACACATGCAACATCTTGCAAAGTAATGGATTACTTCAACTTGGTAAAGGCGATAGTTCTATATAGAACCATGAATATCATGCTTATATGGTTCTTTGCATGGTGAAATGGTTCAAAAAGGGTTCCGCTACTGTTACAAAGTCAAGCTTGTAACAATAAATGAAGTCTATTTGGTGCTGTATTTCAAAAAAAGGTTCTGTATAGAACCATATACAACACATTCTCTATCAGTCTGAAGAAAAATTTCACCATGCAAAGAACCATTAAAGCATGAAATGCTTCTATATAGCTTCAAAAGGATTCTGCTATTTTTACAATGTCAAGCTTGTAATAATGGAAGAAGCCTATTTGGTGCTATTTAGAACCATTTTCAAAAAAGTTCTGTATATAGCCATATACAACATATCCCCCTTCACTCTAAAGAAGCATTTCACCACGCAAAGAATCCCTAAAGCATGAAATGCTTCTATGTAGAACTAATGGTTCTAAATAGAACCATTGTCTTTTTTAAAGAACCATCTTTCTTAAATGTGTATCTCAATTTTTTTAGCACATAGAGGACCAGCTCAGCACAGGTGTGTGTATTTGGTGTCGCCATGGTGACCCTCCAACTCTTACTTCTCTCAGGTAAGCTTTAACCCTATTGGCTCTAAACATAGTGGATCTGTTTCCCAGACATAGAGTAAAACTGGTTCTGAACAATGTTTGTGCTTTAATGGCACCTCTCCACTCATATAGTGAAGTCTAGGCTTAATCCCAGTCTGGTTAATCAAAACTTTCTAATGTTGATAAATCATTTTAGACAAGTCCACGAAAATGGAAGCTGTAGTTTTAGTTGCAAGATGCACAAGAACCATACAGGTCAAATATTAGAGTGAATGCTCTTAAAATAGACACCTACAAATGATGCAAAAGGTTGATGTGAAAAGCTTTGTGTTTGTTCCAATGAAGAGATGTTAAACTTTAATACGAGAGCAGACGGTGCCCTCTCCTGGACTCATCTGGTAACAAAGCTTCAATTCACTGTTTTGGTAGCTGGGTGCAAAAGATAAATGACAATCATTTAAGTGGAACAAACATACACTCTTCATTTCTTTGATCTTTCACAAAGGTCCAGTTGTTTTAGCATTCAATAAACAGTTTCAAATTCTTAGTCCTTAGAGCACATAAAAATATAAAATATTTGAAGCAATGTTTTGAGTAAAAACAAAAATATTTAAGGTGTTTATTAGGTTTAAGCTATCAACATATTAAATGCTGTATGAACAATGATCATGTAATACAGGACAAAAGTTATTTACTTAATAATTATACCTAATTTTGTATGATTATTTTTATCAGATGTAACCAAAAAGCTGTGTAGAGACCACAATGGAAATCTGTTTCTTTGGGTTATTTGTTTGTTTGCTTAAACCTGGAATAAACAACAAAGTTTCAGAATCTTGAGAAATGCAAAATGAAGTTATCACAATTAAAATGAAGAAGAAAAGAAATATTCTAGGTCACTGTTCAAACTGAAGCAAAGTTCTGAAATTGACGTTAAGGTACAAAAAGGTCAGATTTTTTACTCTTATTCCTTCCACTGAAGCTTGTGTACAGACGACTCTTAGGTGGATTTGATCTTAACTTCCATGGCAGCTTGAGCGCATACTGTCATTAAAGCAAAAGGGACATACTGTACCAAATACTGAAAAATTGTATAAGGCATGTAAACATTTAAAGATTCTACTTTTCACTCAAATTGTTATGATAATATCATTTAGAATGAAAATTGCTGCATAATTTAGAAAGGAATGCAAAAAAAGAAGCATTTTCACCAGTGGTCTCAGACTTTTTGACCCCACTATATATTTGATATTGAACAATTTTCAGCATTTCCTGAAGAAACAAACAAGTGCAAACATTATTTATCAGTTTCTTCACTCTATTGTAGGATGTACTCTTCATTGTGTTATCAATGTTGTAAGATGGCATAAGTTTCTGTAGAGGAGAAGCTAGATGGGAGTTTTTCTTTGGAAGTTGCTTTTGGTGGCTGTAATAATTTAAGTTGGAAGTTCTAAAAAAGGACACCAATATTTTGATGAGTTTCTTCAAATGTTTATGTTATAAACATTTGAATTTATAAATATTTTATAATATTTGTATAAATGTATCTTTTACTGGTTTTAAAATGTATCTGATGATAATGTCATAACTATATCAACACAAGACATTAAGTACTTTCCTCATTTAATCATTTCCTTTCCTTTACTGATGCATATTTATTGTCATTGCTGACAGCTAGCCTAGCCACTGATCTACAGGTTAATCAATACAACTAAGCTATTAATCTAACTTCAGAACAAAATCATAAACATAAGGGGGACTCCATCTTTATTCAGCACAAAAATGGATGCCATATACAAATTTTTCCCTTTTAACCAGAGAACAGAAGGCATTGTATCTAGTTAGCAAGTTCTGTCTCACCTGAAAAGCCGTTTCAGTAGTTTGAGTAGTCTGTTCTCTCCATTGCAACGATCATTTGAAGACAGTCAGTTATACTCCTAGCAGTAGCAATAGCTCTTTGGTTGCCTCTGCATTCGCCAGATAGCGGGGGAAAAAAGCGACCCGAAATGGCTTACACAGAGAGGATCTTTGGTTTACATTAACATTTTCCATAACATCTTTACATCCCGCACAAGACACATGCAGTCCATACAGTCAGCTTCCTTTACTGTAGCAGACTGACAAGCTCCACTTTTCTACTGTTCAAGACAATCAAGGATGTTTAATAGTGAGGTAAACTAAGCAGACTGTGATAATGTAAAATGCTGCCAGCTTGTTCTTTACCACAGACTGTAGATCTAATGAAGATTAATGCCATAGCCTAGTTTGTTAGCGACAGCTAGCTAGCTAGTTTAGAGCATCCCATTCTATTTGTAATGCTTTTCTATGGTTATACAAACTGTGTGTGCACAGTTGAACACAATGGGTGCATCTTAAAGTAGCTGAATTCACTAATTAGAAGAGGTGTCTGGATATTTCTGGACATACTGTGAACAATGTCTCTTAGATTTTAACAATAGAGTATTTTTCCACAGCCTTTTCTGCCACAGTCCATCTACGAACATTCTTTATAATTGAGCCAAAGATTGTGAGCATGCCTGAGGCTCAGGCGGCCTGCAAAAAACAATATCATGACCTCGCCAGTGTGTACAATGATGAAGACAATGCCAACCTGGCTCAGTTTCTCAAAAGAAACCAAAAGGCATGGATTGGTCTTTATCGACGTCAGTTCAGTGATAAATGGTCTAATGGTGATGATGTCACCTTCAGCAATCTGACAGGGGTCTGCGGGTCAGGGTCCTGCTGTGCTGCTATGAAGGCTGATGGTTCATGGGAAAGTCTTAACTGTACAGAGAAAAGAAATTTCATGTGCTATGAACAAGGTAATCAACAGTATTAAACAGAACTATTAACTGAGTTGTTTACTCAGAACCTCAAATTCAAAATCCATTTTTTGCCTCCACAGATGTTAGTAAACAAAAGAGATTTTATGTAATCTTTGAGAATATGAGCTGGTATGAAGCTCAGAGTTACTGCAGGAAGAACTACACTGACCTGGTCAGCATCAGAGATCAGAACCAGAATGAAGCAGTGAAAATAGAAGGGCTGAACAGCAGCACGTCCTTCTGGATCGGCCTGCTGAGTGATGACTGGGTGTGGACTGATGGAGGACACTTTGCCTATAGGAACTGGGCGACTGGTCAGCCTCGGCTATCATCTGATTGTGCAATAATGATGAATACTACAAGTGAATGTGGGAAATGGTATTCAGTGCCATGTAGTAATGCTGAGTCTGCTTTGTGCTATTTTAGTAATACCACAGGTATTAAAACACATTCACACAACTCATTACCTCAACATTACCTCATTACCTTCACGTCATTAATATTCTGGACATTAATTACATGAGAACATTCTTCTGCAGATTTTTCGCCTACAGTCCCAGATGGTCTCAATTTCACTGAGAAGAAAATTGCATACATGACTGAGGCTCAGGCACCTTGCATAACAAACGACACTGACCATATCATTGTGTACGGTGATAATGACAATGCTGAACTGGCTTTGAAGATTGAAAGTGGCAAAAAAGCCTGGCTTGGGCTCTGTCGCGGTCAGTCCAGTTATAAATGGTCTAATGGTGATGATGTCATATTCAGTAATCTGACAGGGGTCTGTGGATCAGGGACTTGCTGTGCTGCTATGAAGACTGATGGTTCATGGGAAAGTCTTCAGTGCACAGAGAAAAGAAACTATGTGTGCTATAAACAAGGTAACTACAATATAAAGGCCTATTACTATTACATTACTAATCAAGTAATCTAATGATTTTTTTATGATTAATCAAGTACACACACACAATTTCAAAGCTGCTTATCTTTCTGGGTCGCGGGGGGAGCTACAGCCTACCCCAGCGGTCATCGGGCGGAAGGGAGGAAACACCCTGGACAGGTCACCAGTCCATCGCAGGGCATTAATCAAGTAATCTAACAATTGTTTTGATGACTAATCTGAGTAACATGAATTATTAAGGGCCAAAAATAAAAACTGACTTAATGAACATTAAAAAATCATGCAGAGCAGGTGGGGCGTCAGGGAGTCATTTAGTGGGGCAATTCCCCACCACCCAAATATCTTACCCTGGGCACTATTACCTGCTTGTGGGCCCCATGGATGTACTTACACACAGTGTCTAAAAACTTAAAACTTTTGCTTTTAAAGAATGTGCACATACCACTGCCGCCAGTCAGTGAATTCAGCATTGCCACCCATTACTGCACAAACTCAACCCAGAATCAAGAAAGACCAGAAAGTTTGAATAAGAAGCTGCCAAATGAAGCCAACTAAAGGGAAGTTTGACATGTGACAGTCATTGTCAATCATGACTAATGCAGGAATAAACTTGCTACCCAGGACTTTTACATGACTATAGTATAGTATGTTTAATTTGATTAATCATCAAATTAGGTGATGGCTACCAGTTTAAACTGCTAAATTAAATAAACTTAATTTTTTTGATTTGTGCATAGGGGTATACACTTCACTCTATTTTACATGAAGTATGACAATGGAATAATATAGAGTCTGAGCATTATATTCAGGGTATATGTTATGCTTTCTGAACATAATGCTCAGCCTCTTGGGCCCCTCCTAGCGGCAAGGTTCCTGAAAGCTTTCCCCTTTTTCACTGGTGAGGTCCTCATTGTTTGGGGTGATAAACTGGAGTACTCTCTAGGTGATGCTCTCTGGAATATGAGGTTCTTTTGGACAGAACTACTGTAGACACTGGTACACTTCCCCAGCCCTTCTATGTTTCTTTGGATTTTTTTTTTTTTTATTGTCCACACATGAAGCATATAAATGGTTATGTCCATCAGGCTCTGCTTCAAGTCATTTCTTGAGTTATTAAGAAAGTAAATGTAACCAGTGATGTTTTATAGAGTAATCGACTTTAATCAAGGTATGTTGATACTCGTAATTCACTTGTAACTAGTTCTCATTCCTTGTGACTCTTATTCAGAATAAATGTGTTCATTCTTTCACCTCCACAGATACTGACCTCATCTTCAGCTATCATTTAATCCTTGACTCCATGAGCTGGTATGAAGCTCAGAGTTACTGCAGGAAGAGCTACACTGACCTGGTCAGCATCAGAGATCAGAACCAGAACGAAGCAGTGAAGATATTAGTGATGACCAGCAACACGTCCCTCTGGATCGGCCTGCTGCGTGATGACTGGGAGTGGACTGATGGAGGACGCTCTGCCTACAGAAACTGGGCGACTGATCAGCCTGAAGTAAACTTAAACTGCACAGTAATGGCGAATAGCATAGACCACGATGGCAAATGGTATTCAGTTGCATGTGATCCGTCCTACCCTAATAACACTGCAGGTGTCAGAATACATTTCCACATTGCTACTGGGTTTTGCTTCATCTTTCTTATACTGCCTTCAATGTTTTACAACAGCATTTGTTAAAAGAATCTGTTGAAAAGGTAATAAGAACTACATAAAAGCCATAATCTGGAGTTTGCATCTTAACTTGATGTTCCTTTTTGGCCCTTGTTGTTACTGCTTTTCCACCATTTTGTTAGAGCAGTACTGCCAAAATCAGACACCATGCATGCTTTATGTATGCCGGATTATGTATGCCTTTTTTTCACCAGCTGTGAAAAGTTTTGTTTAGACTTTTTTTCCATTGCTTTCCTTAACACAAGACTAAGAGGGGAAGGGTGGGACTGGGGGGTGGTTCTAAGAGAACAATTACGAATAACATGCCAGTAAAAAAAACTTTGTTCTGTTGGGAAAGTTTTGTTTTGAGACGCAACACAGTCTCCAATTCTTTTCGCATGAATTAAATAAAGCAAATCATAAATGTCTTTATGAATCACCTGGTGTCCAAAATTAAATTTAGCTCCTCATGAATAGTCATACAGAATTATAGGCAATCCTTTGGTCAGATTCAGAAAAAAGTGACAGTAAAAGGTCAAATTTCAAACATGTTAATGCCCCTACAGCAGCAGCCACCAACCCTCTTGGACATCTACTTTCCTACAAAGTTTAGTTCCAACCTGTATCTAAAATACTGCCTCCTGTTTACCCAACACTAATGCACTTAATCCAGGTAATGAAATTCATTAGCTTGTGCAGGAATGGCAGGCTAGTTGGCAGAACGACTCTGTAGAAAAGGTATATCTCCTAGACAATGCAATTCAGCAAGAAAGATGGGCTGCAAAACAGGCAATGCTTTCCAGAGTGGCTGGAAGAAAAACTCAGTTCCATCTGGCAAACACTGAGAAAGCTGAGCTACTACTTTGTGACACACCAGAAGAGAAATCACTTGTTTGGCAGAAAACAGCCAAGACCAACATTTGGGCTTCTTTGCTTCACCTTCAATTTATAGAACTATTGTATAAACCCAATACAACAATTAAGATGGCGCATGATCGTGAATAACTTAATAACTGGGACGATCTACTGGGATATAGGAGTTTCTACTGCTTTGAAAAAATAAATACCTAAAACAAAAACCAAAAAAGTGACTTTCAAATTTTGAATAATGTTGTGTCTCCAACTGTATCAGAACTTTCATAAGCAGACACAAAGCAAAATATTCTAAACATAAAGTCTTTGTAAACGATCTTGTGCATAATTATATGTGAACAGCCATAACCCTTATCCTGGCATGAAAAGCCGGTTTGAATTGGCCTCCAGAGGGCACGACACACATCCTCAATTCTTTTTAACTAGGCAAGATTAGACCACATCTTGCCCTGCAAAATACTAATGGCATGAAGACAACTCGTTAGAATGAATAAACGTCTAGAAATTATACTCAAAAACATACAAAATAGTGAAGCAAGACCATTTTTAACCAATGGATTACATCAAACCTTACCAAACTTTATGTTGGGATATGATAAGAGCACTTCAGATAAAGTAAAACATACACAAGGTTTTAGGGGGGAAAGGAAGGGAATTTATTAGATTTTTTTTTAGGCCAAATTACACAGTGCTGCCAATAAAACTTTAGTACAAATCAATTACAATAAAATGGGCAAATAGTTTCTTTTTCACAGTGACACTTGAGGTTGGGACAAATTCAAAAACCAATTCATTGGAGAGACTTTAACACGCACACAAATCAGAAAAATACTGGTGCAAGGAACAGAAATTAAATTGGAAATGTACAGCATCTTGTATCTAAAACAATCAGTCTGCGGAGGAAAGACTGAGATTTGGATACAAAACAGCTGCTGCCTGGCGAGAGGTAAAAATGAAAAACGTTGAAATGTAGTGAAAAACAGTGAACAGATGGGAGAATTAAAATTCAGAGGAAAGAAAGAGAGGGTGGGGAAAAGTGGTGAAAATTTTACTAATATAAAAGTGCCTAACATATAGTCCATTTGAAATAAGATTGTGTGGCGGTGTAAAGTCACTTTAAAATTTTAAATTTAATTTTGTTGTCTTTTTTTTAATTTGCACTTAAAGCTGGTTTTCTCCCTCTGTACTGTGCATTATAAAAAATAAAAGCATTATGTGCAAGATCACTGGCAGAAGTCGCACAGTGCAGGGGTTTCCATGTGCTATAGGCAAATATTTTCTTTTTTTTTTAAACAAAAATAATATTTTCAGCATTTTAATATCAAGCCACGTCTTCAGCATGACTTACATTCAGTGTTATTACTAAAAATTCTTTATCAGCAGGTTTAAAACAACCCTGCACAATGTACAATATGCTACAATATTTTATACATTTCATTATTTACATGGCTCCATTACATATCCAAGTCTTCAGCTTTGTTTTGTCATCTTTCAGATGGCCGTTAATACTCTTGCGCAAGAGAGGTACCAACACTTCCACACGCTGTTTAACACGCTTACAAGCAGAAATAACACGGGGAGCGTTACATTACATACCGGCCATAGGAAGAACACAGTCTGCAACTTCTGAACACCATTTAACAACAGTGCAATGTGGACATCAAGTATGAAAGGGAAGAATTTTTATGATTTTGGCAGGCTTCAGGTTAAAACCTTTTTTGGAGAATGTAAACACTTTCACACTTGTGTCCAACAGTGCTACAAAACATCACCTCACAACACAGCACATGGCGAACAAGGCCATGAAGCAAGACCAGGGAAAAACAATAGCAACATTCCTGCATCCCGCAGCTTGGACCTCCTCCGCATAGTTTGCCATATTGGTGTTGTGTAGGGACGTGTCAAGCTCAGACAGCTTATTAAAATAAACATCACTGATTGTATACAAATAATTTCCCAAGAAATAAGCATAATGCTTTACCTGCTATGGCATATATGGCACTTGTGACCATGCGATAAGGAAGGGGGAAAAAAAACAAAAAAAAAAACCTACACTGCTCTAGTAAACAAACACTTATGATTGATAACCTAACGCAACAGGGCTTATGCTACAGTGGAACTTACAAACCATGTTGAAATTTCAACACCCATAGTGCAGTGCGCACAGCGCAATTTTAAAAAAAGTACAGGAGTTGAAAGTACAAGGTCTGTGTGCCACAGTTAAACCCATCAGTCTGTCTTTAAATCATCTACATACAACAGCTTGTTCTTCCACATTCAGTTGCTCTGGTATCTTCAGAACAAGGTCAAGCAGCATATTCTTCCCCCCAAAACAGAAACGACACTAACAATAGAGATGTGGCATTCTCTAATCTAACGATCAGTATGCTACAAATTCTGATGTGCTTTAGCACCAAGAGGCTTCTGCATAACCTCGACATGATTAAAACCTCATGCTAAGGTCTCACAAGAAGCCTCTATTTGGAAAATAAACTGTTCAGAGACCAAAGCATAGTCAAACTAGCGATGTGTAACCGCATAGTCATTAACGGCCATAATAAAAAAAACAAAACATATCGGCAACATAAACGAGAAGGAAATCCAGTTCATCAATCCTCCAAGGCATACGACTCCACCAGAGCTCTCCCACCTGCAAGGCTGCAACAGCTGTACACCTTTGAGGATAAAAAGATAAGAGCTGGTCTCTGGACAAGAACTAAGCCTAATCTTGGACTAAAGCCGCATACAAATGGTGATTCACCACTAAAAAGCCTTTAGTCCAGATTTAGGCTTAACCTGGCGACAGGAACCAGTTCATAGTCAGCTTCTTAGAGAAAGATTAAGTCTAGTCTTCAGCTGAAATTTCATATCAATGAAAACTCCAGGATTCTGCCTTAATCTAGGTCTAGGAAAGCAGCTCACAATTAAAAATGAAAAATCTGTAAAATGGTCACTATAAAATAAATTCGAAACCGCTTTAAAAAAAAATGTATTGCAGCTCTGCAGCGTTCCAGGAGGGTAACAGGTCAAAGTGGAGCCTTCCATCACTGGCTTTGAGAGATCAGTGAGGTTCGTTCTCACGCTTGAACCTTAAGAAGGCTCTTTAACTGAAAGGCCATCATCTCACGGCGATCGCAAGGGACCATGGGTAGAGACACCCAGTGGCTGGGAGGTTTGGGCAGAACGCTAGGGGATGGGGGGTCACTGAACTTGGCTCCTGCATAACTGTGGCCACACTGAGCTGCCAAGAGGTTGTTCAGATGTGATACGGCTCCCTCCCAATTTTGGTCGTACGGTGTGGCGAAACGAACTGACCCATTCTTCTTCTTCTCCGCGGACACGGCCTGCCGCGCCTCAGGAGACCACGAATAACCGCTACCCTTGTCGCTCCTGCGATGGCTGTGGAGGAGGGGCCCTGCCGGGGCTCCAGAGGATGCTGCAAGCACTCCTCCATTTTGGTTACGGCTCCTTTGCTTGGCCCTGCCAACCTGTTGGTTCTTTTTGGACAAAGAGTGATCAGGGTGGGATGCTGGAATGTTGTATCTTTCACCACCTCCCATACTGCTCACACTGGATGTCACCTACAGGAAGTAAGAATAATGATTACAAAGTGGAAGAGACAAGCTGCAGCAAAAAAACACAAAAGTTACAAAGCCAAATTTTTGATTCTGCTCACTCACTTTTTCAAATAAAAATTCTCAGTGTAAAATTCATGTTGTAATAACTAAACAAGGTAAGGGCGAGCAGAAGGAACAGTAAGCAAATAATAGTTGCCAATCTGTTTACCATAATGAAGATTTCAATCAAGTACCATTTTCATCTATATTTGCGGTATTGATGTTACGTAAACAATTTATTTGGAGGAAAAGGGAAGGAAGGAAGGAAAGGGGAAAAAAGGAACCAACCAATAACTACTAAACTATCTTTACAATGAATAAAACTGAGTAATCAAGTACCATTTTCATTTATGAATAATGTAGTATTAACATTGCATAAACTTTATTTAAAGGAAGGAGGCAAATATTTTACTTGAATATAGCATTAATGATTTGGTTTGCTTTTGTATTAACACAAAGTTTATTTTCAAATGAAAAGGGCAAAAAATGTACTACAGTGCTAACTAATTAAAAATAAGTCTAAAAGCAAAATGATGACGTTAAGGGAAATAAATCTGGCCACGTTCCTTTCGCTTGGCAGTAACAAAGAGCTACGTGCAGAGCAGCCTCAGCCCATCCCCCTACTTGTTTTCAAGAGAAGTGGAGACCTACCTCTTTGTGTTGAAGATGAATGCGTAGATGTCTTTATTTCTTAATTTCTCCTCCCCAATAGGGCTCCAGGTCCTCGAAGTAGTTGATCTACTTCTCACTGCACGCTTTAGGCCCACAGTGTCCGAGGTTTTCATGTGCCAGCGAGTGATGTTTTGTCGTGAAGCCGAGTTGAACATCAGTTCACCCCGGCACACGGCGCACTGGGAAGCCGCTGATCTACAAAGGCAATTTGGAAGTGTCAGTATTTCTGACTATTTTTCTGCAATAATTCTCCTAATAATACATGACGCAATAGCACAAATAAGATCACGGATTTGCTTAACCGTTACTTTTTCACCGAGTGAAAAAAATATTGAAAAAAATCAGCCAGTTAACCCTTTCAGTAAAATGTGTTACCACAAGGAAAACAGCTAACGTTACTAAACTTTGTTGAGTGATGATTTGAGTGATGAAACAAACTGCGATTACTGTTGAATTCACGTTAGCTAGTTACATAAACAGTTAATCTGAAAAGGAAAAACAGCGGAATGGAGCGGACTTGCAAAGAATACCGTTACTCATTTTATCTACCATGGTGCTAGCTAATGCGTTCGAAATATTAAAAGCCAAAGGGATGCAAGCATAGAGTAAACTGAAGATAAAAAAACAGCCAAGAAAGAAAAATCTAGGTCATGCATTCTGGCTCCAAACCAAAACAAAGAACTCGCTCCCAACATGGCGACGGCAGACTTTGTTAACAAACAGAACAGGAAACGAACACATCTCGACCTACCGACTTCCTCGGGGTTTTGATGGCGAAAGCCCGTCGTTTAATACAGGCTGGCTGTTTATACTGTAGCTCCAAGTGAAGACGTTATTTTCACAACGTGGAAATAACCTCGACGACTTAGAACTAACAGAGATGTTTGCTCCCCTCTTCTCTCTCTCCTCCGTCTCTATCTCACTTACAACAAAATGGCTTCTCTATCAAGAATAAGTAGTTCACGTCTGGCGGGCACCAACCAATCAGGGTTGAGCACTGAACCGCAGTGACCAATAAGAGAAGAAAGACGCGCTTGTTGCCGCTTTCGTTACGTCACGAGCTAGGCAACGGTCGGAGAGTTGACGCAACCTAACTTTTTGTTTTCGTTTTTCTTTAATGTACATTCTTTGGTTTGTTCCAGTTAATATTTACTGTTTTGTGGTTTCTAAGTCCCATAATTTGATTTGATATTTCATATCTGACTGACAGCTCACACCTCTTTTTAATTCCACTCCGCTGTGGACACAAAGAGCAGTGCCAGCTGTTCAAACCGTTCATCAGTTTTCCCAGTCGGTGCCTTCTCAACTTTCTCACCAGTTGTCTGGATCCAACACATCTAATTTCTCTCACGATGAAAATGATTAGTTTCTATGATACCATACCTTTCTTTTTATCTGTTTTATTGCCAAATTTAACTGCACAGCAGCATTAGCATAGTCAAATTAAATCTGACCAATTTAGCAGTCAAATTAAATACATCTGCACATTCCTAAAAAACTTTGGCCAAAATAAAATTAAAAAATGACATAGTTATATCTGTTGTAAACACTTGCATAGCGGTGTCTCCTGGCCTCTAGAGCGAGATCTTCCAGACTTGGAAACCCCCTGGTGATGAAGGAAGGTGAGAGAAACTTTAAAAAAAAAAACTACAAATGCTTTGGGGTGGATTTTTGGGGGTGGGGTGTTTTGATTCCTTTTTTCTGTTAGCTAAAGTTAGCGAACACAGAAGACAGATAATACTGCTAGGAAGCCCAGTATCTTATTGTAGCTACATATAGCCTAACTCTTCAAATCACTAAAACAAAGGGGAGAATGGATTACATGACAGCCTCATCATGGTATGTCGACTACAAGCTATAAGGCTAAAAATAGCAGCTGAGACAAGTTTTTGAAAATCTTTTGCGCCAAGATAAGATAGAACCGCTGTTTTATTTAGTTGCACTAATGCTAGCTTGATTCTGTTTATTAGCCTGTAGATCAGTGACCAGGCTACCGGTCAGGATTGACTGACACCACAGGGATCCCCAGTGTTTCTACGAGGTATTTGCATAATGCATGCTGGGTAGTATAGTGAGAAACCACTGAGGCTGAGGAATACAATGCTGCGCTACAGAACACTACATAACACCCTGGATAACATTCAGATCTAGTTATAGGCTGAAACACCTCTTCATTTGTACTCAGACAAGCTCTTCAGAGCAAATATGTCTTTCTTGCAAGAAAGTCCACTCCTGGCCTGCTTTATGCCTTGTGGAGATTTCTATTTGTCCTCAACGTATTTTAAAATGTAGGGTGAGGAACTTCAGTCCTGGAGGGGCAGATTAATGCACAGTTCAACGGTTTTCCTGCTCAAGCACACCCAGTGTGCAAAATATTTTCTGTTATTCTGGGGGTCCCATGTCGACTGGCTGCTAACTCACTCGCCATAGTGGAGCTCATGCTAGCTTCAGTGGCCACAAAATGTTTTATTTAACAATTCTTTCTGAAATGCTCTTTTGTGGTTTCTTAATGCAGTATTCCATGCTTTGATTGAGATCTTACACATCTCCTCTGTTGTCTTCAGTTGGGAAATGAATAACAATTCATTATTTCTACCAAACAACAGACAGAATTTTAATTTTGAGATATTCAGGGGTCCAAGAAGTTAATTAGGGGGTTGTGGACCCCCCAGGACCTCCTGTATTTTGCAGGTTGAACACACCCCATGCAACACAGCAGTTAATTACCAGGTTTAGCTGTTGTGTCAGAGTCGAGAAATCAGCAAACTGCTGGACTCCAGCACTCAGTTCCCCTCCCCTGCTGTAAACCTACTAGGCCTTTAAACTAATTTCATTTGCATGTTATCCAGAAAATCCTTTTTAGCTTTAACCCTTTGTTTTACATTTGGAACTGAAGAGATCTTTCTATTATCACATCAACAGATAAACCCTCAAGTTAAGAAAACTCTACTACCCCCACACCCAACCCCCACTGAATAACTTCTCACAGTGGAAGGATTGTTATCGCCCATTCCTCTGTTTCTCACATCACTAGATCAAAACCACAGGAGAGGTGCGTAGATTGGACCGTAGTATTGACGATGGCAGGAAGATGTCTAGGTGTGAAGTTGTGATGCTTTTGTTAATGTCTAGTGTCCCAGTGACCATTTGTTGTTACTCACACCTGATGGATAGTCCTGAAGAGGTGTGTTTTGGATCTCAAAGTGTTGAATAATACCACATTTGGATTGTTTCTGAGTCTAGACAAGTGATGCAAGGTCACATAAACCCTCACTTGCTACAGCATTTGGTTTCTATTGTCAATATTAATGTCCAGTCTATCTTTTATTGTGATTTGTGTCACAAGGTTTGTGGTATGTTTGTGTGGTGTTTCTTCTCTTAATGGATATCATGGTGCTGGGAGGGTGGTTGTTCCTTGAGAAGGTTATTGTGATATCAGATAAGGACTCGTGGCACAGCATATGATAGTGAAACTGGTTGAAAGCTGACTTTATGGAGATTTTTTGGGAACCTTTGAGGCCCTGAATAAGTGACTGTTACAGGCGTCATTAGGATACACATGATGGACATTATCGTTGAACCAATAAAACTATGCTTAGATAAGTCTGTGAACTGAGTCAACCAAGTCAACGTTATCTGTTCAAAAGTTTATCCAGCATTTCTTCTGAAATCAAAGGCATTAAAGGAATCATTAAAAAAAAAAATCAAATTTACACATTTTGCCACTTATCCCAGATGTAGTCGACTGACGAAGTCTGGAGCCCAAGTTTTGCCTCCTTAGTTTAGAATGAAAACATCGAGGAAAACACTGCTAACAAACACTAGAACTCAGTAGTCACCTAAATAGCTTAAATAATTTCTGTAAAAATAAACAGTATTCGATTGACGTCACACATGGCACGCATGCAATATTGTTGATATGCCACCGGTCAACACAGCGACGATCTGGTAAGTTAAGAAAGCTCCCGACTGTCTTCCAGCCATCCCAGATATGTACCTATTAATAATTTTTGCGATCACAACAATGTGTTAGATGGTGTCGCTCATGGCACAAAAGATAGAATATCACTGAGTTTTCCACAGACTAAATAATTAAGTGATTTAGTGATTTGGATGCTTTTAGCTCCTGCCAAGTGTAGTCTAATGCAGTATTTACATGCTAATTATGCAAACCCAATTCCATAAAATGTTGGGACAGAAGTCAAAATGAAAATAAAAAAAGAAACAAATGACTTGTAAATTTACTTTGACCTTTATTTAAATACAAACAGTAGTAATAGTACAAATGACAAAGACAAGATATTTAATGTTTTACTTTTTGAATTATTTTTGCAAATATACACTCATTCTAGAACTGATGCCTGCAACACATTCCAAAAAAGTTGGGACGCAGGCGATTTAAGACCAGAAACATAGTAAAATGTTCTAAAAACATCATAAACAGGTGATGCATTCATGTTTGGGTGTAAAGGAGCATCCAAGAAAGAAATAGTCCTCTAAGAGTGAGGATGTGTTCTCAAAGTTCAAAAGCCGACATCTGTTACGGTATAGGGGTGTGTTTGTGCCAATGGAATGGATAACTTACACATCTGTGAAGACACCATTAATGCTGAGGGGTACATTCACATTTTAGAGCAACACATGCTGCCATCTAGACTAAATATTTTTCCAGAGACGTCTGTTTTTGTTTTAGAAAGACAATGCCAAGCCACATTCTGGATGTGTTACAACAGCATGGTTCCATAGTTAGAGAGTGCAGGTGCTAGACTGGCCTGTCTTCCACTGGAAATGTCTCACACATTAGTATTGCAACATACAACAACAAAGACCCCACTGTTGAGCAGCTTAAGTGTTTTATCAAGCAAGAATGTAAAAAAAAAATCCACTTTCACAAGTACAATAGTTGATGTTCTCAGTTCTCAAATGACTACTGAATGCTGTTAAAAGGAAAGGTGATGTAATACAATAGTAAACATGTCCCTGATTCAACTTTTTCATAATATGCAGGCATTGCACGCATCAAATTTGGAATAAGCATATTCAAAAACAATGTTAATCAGTTGAAACATCTTGTCTTTGTATTGTTTTATTTGAATACAGGTCAAAAAGGATTTGTAAATCACTGCTGTCTGTTTTCATTGGCATTTACTTACTATCCTAGCTTTTTTGGACTTGGGTTTGTAGGTGTCTGAATATGTTATTGCAGGCAATAATGTGTAATCAGGACTTATCAATTTGGTACGGATCAATACCTCCAAGCAAACAGACTTTCTTTCTTTGATATCTTGATTTGAAAGCCATACTGACTGCTTCTACATATTATGCTGACAGAATGTCAACCATGGGCCATGGGGCACTTTTTCCAGGTTTTGCAAATAACCATCTGTACATCACCAAAATCCGCTTTGGGAAGCTCTGGTTTTGTCTGCCATTAGCAATGAAATGTGTTACTTCCAAATTTTGTTCATTTTTTATACCTCAGAGTAAGTAATAGGCCTACTGTGTCCTAATCAAGTGTTTCTCTGGTCCTGGAGGCCCACTGCACCAACACACCTGATCCAACTAATCAGCTCCTTAACGCCTATTATTGAGTTGAAGTAGGTGTGTTAAAGCACGAAAAGCACTAAAATGAGCAGGGCAGTGGCCGCTCCGGAGAGAGTACAAAATGAATGGGTTAATATGGAGCATTTGAGCAAAATCAGTTTATGAACGCTTAAACATTTTAATATAAAAGAATGTATTTGTTTCCTGAACACAGAACAGCATAAACATTTTAACACTGCTGTTATACTTTTAAGAGCTTTTGAACTTAATTTATAGGAGTTAAACGCCACCTCATGTATGTTCATGACTACAGTGAGCGCAAATGGAGGCAGGATTAGTTCACAAACATCACCAACGAGGCTGTGTTTAGTTAAAGGGGAATTCCATGACTTATCTAATTCTGCATAATTCAATGAGGCATTGAGATGTAAACAGTCATTCAGAGTGGTTTTAATGCAAACTGGTTCATTGTTAAGATATTCGCAGAATCTTTACACTGGTGGCGATAGAAACTAGGCGTCACATTGTCTACAAAACTATAGCCATTTTATTTACTATCCAAAACCTAAATGTTTTTTATATGTAATGTTGGTTGTGGTAAAGTAGAGGCAATTCTGAAAAAATGCGCTTCATTTTCCTCACAATACCTCTTTACCATGAATGTATTTGGGAAAAAATGTTCAAGACTAAAGCCTCATCTATTATTAAACAATGTGTCAGACTGCATTCTTAACCATTTCATGTAATAACTACACAACTACACCAAACTACTCTGAATGACTCTGTTTACATCTTGACAATTGAATACTGCAGAAATTTTGAAAATCTGGTGAAATTCCATGTGGCTCTGCGATCCAGAAGGCCTTGAATGGTTATGAATAATCTCTACAGTCATCTTTTACACTTCCACAATCTTCTGCCATGCCACCATGTCTAGCACATGTCTCAAACACAACAACCTTCTCAAAGAACAATCATCCTCCACGTTTCATGACGTCCTGAAACAAACAAAAATAACACCATACCACAGAGCTAATGGAGATACAAAAGGCATTAAAATGTCCTCCTAGGTGTAAAATACATTCAAGAAATACACTCTATAGTAAAATACATAAAATCTGATTACAGGAGATAATCTACAATTCCTAACTCTACTGTTTCGAGGCTATGGCGGTTGTCCTCACAATCTACAGAACATGGAAGTATTGACAAATGTCTCTATATAGTGTTCAAGGATCTAGGGATAAGGAAGACACATTGGCCTTTATTTATCAATGTGTTTTCCTTATCTCTAACGACCTACTCTGTGTCTGTTGTGAAACTTTCGTATGACGAGTGGACCAGCTTCAGTGTGTGAAATCAAGTGCCAGCCTACCAGTACCTCATTTACATACCATTTACATGAATCACATCCTAATTCATACAGATGTTTTGGGCCAAGGACTGTGTTCGTAGGCGAAGTTCGAGATTAAGCAGTGAGTGCACTGCTCCCCCATACCCAACTTTATAGTGTTATATTTGTAATGACTGGAAAGAATAAGCAATATGTCTTAGCTTTGTTTTAAGAAGGCAGAATGAAGTGACTGTAGTGTGATTATTTTCCTACAATAACATTAAAATGCTGTATTACAATGTATGAGATGGTGAAATTTGCATGCACATATTTAAGATCAAATTTCAGTGTAGACATCTTTGCTATATAAGGGCCACTGAGAGGAAGAAAGGCTCAAAAGGCGCGCCCATGCTGCTTTGGATGACAACCCATAATGAACTTGCACTCCATTTAATAGGCCAAAATGAAAACATTCACCTAGTAAAGTCTCTGAAAAGAATGGTGAAACAGTTCACAAGTCTTCTGGCCTGTACACAACCTTGACTGAGTCCATTCTTAGCAAGGCCTTGTGATGAAGGCCATCAGCTTTGGGCTTCATTGCTTTGGCTTGGTGAGGAGTCTCCTTTGACTGGGACCTGGACTACTGGCTCAGACAAGGTAGAGGTGTTCGTCTGTCTGTGATCCTCTTCTCCACCACTGGAGTTCCTAACAGCAAAAGCACAATTTACTATTAGTAAATGAGATGCTAAAACACAAGACTTAGAAACCCCAAAATGCATATAAAACTATAGATATGACAGTTAGAAGTGTAAGTAGGCACACCGGCTTAAACATTGTTAATGACAGGCTAAAGCTGCCTGATAAATTGTAATTTTATTGTTATCGTGATATGACTTTCTGCCATAAACACATCATAATGGCCCACAGTGACAGAATGGATCAAATTACTTCACACAACGGCAAAGTAACAATCAGCGTTATGTGTAAAAAGCATAGACTGTATGGTAAAATGTGTGTAACATAAATGTATGTGACTGTTTTTAGACTCAATCTCCTTATGGAACTCACTCACATTTGCAAAACACAAATTTTCCACAAGGGGGCGCCATTAGCTGTCAAATGGTTTTTGGTTCTTCATATAAGCAGCGCCTCATTAAAACTATGTCCTTACAGCCTTACAGACCACAATAATGTACTTACAGTTCAAGTCATTAGCTGACAGTATTATTATTTAATTTAGCACAAAAGTGAACAGTACTTTTGTATTTTTTTGCTATTTTATAAATAAAATAAACAAATCTGTACTTGCAGCACATCCAGTCAGAGACACACAAATTTTATAACAATGTATCGCTGCTCATATCATCATTGTGTTGTCCAACAGCTTTATGGACATCTTATGATATGATCATATCATGCAGCCCTACGACAGACCAAAACATAACGTAAGTCTAACAGATTTTTATTCATTTAAACAGCAGATAACAGCTTCAAAATCTTCAAGTATGCCTCAGCACAGTGGGCCTGTCTCACAAAGCATGTTCAACACAGTAAGGCTTCCTTACTTAACTCGTTTTAAAACACAGGACTTGGGACTGTGAGTGGGCAATATGACAATATTTTATCACCACCATAATTATATCACCATGCGCTTTTTTGAGCGTACTGTGGATACTGTCAGCACTTAAAGAACACTGTTTCATTACAAAGAGAACATGTTTACTCCTTTATTATTGGCAAACTTTGAATAAAGATAATTGTACCCTATGTAGTATTATAATGATGTGATATTATATTTTATATTTTAAATACATTTTTGCTATCTCACCCACTATTCTCTGAATACTATTTATTAAATTGTTAAACAGTAGTGTCTCATTCCATTATGTAGGTTAGAACTTATTGTTTTATTTAAGTTAACATTTGTTGCATATGTTTCTTTTTGGTGCTTTAGACAACTGACCCTCAGCCAGGCTTGTTGGACCTCTTCTTGAATGACCAGAGTGTGTCAGGTTTTGAACCCGCAACGTCTCTTTCCAAGACTTCAGTACATTTTTATGCTTAATTTTTAAATGTACAATGTATCTCTACTCTTTAACCCAATTTCAAGAAAGTTTAGATAGCAGGAAAAATGTAAATAAAAACACGACAATGATCTGCAAATCTTTTTTGAACTGTATTCAATGGAAAACAGCACAAAGCTAAGACCTTTAATGTTTCAACCAATTAATGTGTTTTTTGCCTACGTTTATTCCAAATAAATGCCTGCAACATGTTTCAAAAAAGTTGGGACAGAGGCGTGTTTATCACCATTTTAACTCACCTTTCCTTTCAACAATGTTCAGTAATTGTTTGGGAACAAAGGACAGCAATTATTGTTAATAGTTGTGAAAGTGGAATGTTTTCGCATTCTTGTATAAGTCTTCAGTTATCCAACAATTTGGGTTTTCCGTTGTTGTATATTGCGTTTTACAATGCTCCACATTTTCAATGGGCGACAGGCCTGGAGTGCAGACAGGCCAGTCTAGCCCTCGCACTCTCTTAATAAGAAGCCATGCTGTTTTAATAATTGTAGAAAGCTGTAATCTTCCCAAAATCATCCGTCCATGCCCATATCTGAATTATTCTCTGTCCCACAAAGTCAAATAGTGCTAAATGTAGATTTTAAGAGGAATCTTACTTTAAGATAGCTAAACCTTAAGGTCATACATGAGGCAAATCAAATTAGCTGCATTTGTGCAACTTACCCTCCCTTGTTAGAAATACTTTTTTGGTTTGTTTTGGTTTGTTTTTTGCTTGGCAGTCTTGGGGCAGTCTTGGCATTGCGCCTGATGATCTTGGCCTTGTGTGCAGCTGCTTGGCCACGGAAACCCATTCCATGAAGCTCCCGACGAACAGTTCTCGTGCTGACGCTGGTTCCGGAGGCATTTTCAAACTCTGTAGTGAGCGCTGCAACTGGGGACAGACGATTTTCGCTCGCGACGCGCTCCAGCACTCTGAGGTCCCGTTCTGAGAGTTTGTGCGGCCTGCCGCTTCGGGGTAGAGCTGTTGTTATTCCTAGACGTTTCCACTTCACAATAACATTGCTTACAGTTGACCGGGGCAGATTCAGCATGGTGGAAATTTCACGAACTGATTTTTTGGAAAGGTGGCATCCTATGACAGTGCCACGCTGAAAGTCACTGAGCTCTTCAGTTCGACCCATTCTATCACCATTGGTTGTCCATGGAAATTGCAGGGCTCTATTCTTGATTTATGCACTTGTTAGCAATGAGTATGGCTGAAATAGTCCAACCCACACATTAGAAAAGATGTCCACATACTTTTGTTGTTTATCCAACATTTCCCATATTGCTCAAACTAGATGTCACCTTCATGAGTAAGAACAACAAAAGAGAAAGATACATGAATAGCAGACTCTGATGTGAATACACAACCAGTTAGTGGCTATTTTATTAATGCATTATGTGAAGAAGTAGCTAGTAGTCCTGGGCGGTAGGGTGATGAAATCAGCTATCGACGATGATTGACAACCCGATGACGATACGTAAAAGTGATAATCGAAGTGTTGGAATCTGACAAAGAAGTAAAGAGGACCAATTTACAGCCAAACAGCTTATTAAATACACAGGGAAAGTAGTTTTTTAATTCACAAGAGAAAGAAATAAGTTTGTTAAGAAAACCTAAATAAAGTTTTTTGCTTTTTTGCTATAAATTAAAAAAATTAGCCAGACATATGATACATTTCTGTAATACTGAAGATGTTGTCTATTCATTTGAGGAAGAAAGGAAGCTATATCGTATTCCAAGGAGGCATGGCATGCCCTTGTGTATAAACTGACCCAAAACCTTTATTTTTTTGTAACATTTAGGTGACTGGGACAGAACATCTTATCATCGATTTAAGCTAGTGCAAGCATATTTATTGCACAGTTTGATATACTTTCACATGCACATTTCCTTTTTCATGTTTAATATGATGAATTATGGACTTTGTGTTCATTTCTGTTAAACTTTATTACTAAGGGTTTAAAAATCTGTCCACAATTCATACAGGACAAAGCTACATTTCCTCACTGTCACAATAGCCCCCTCCTACTCCCTCCCACAACTCTCAACACCCAAATTTCATTCAACACATTTAATTGTAGTAAAAAAATACTTCTCTGCAACAGATTAATCAGGATTTAATCCGCAATAGATTAATCAGGATAATCAAGGCTAAACTTAATATTAGATTTGGCTTGATTAGTATATTTGGGTAAATTTGGTGGTTTTTGCTAGCTGGCTGGCAAAAAACAGCTAGTAAAATCCAGCTAGTCCATGAACAGTTTTGTAGTTGATTAGGGGTCCACACATAAGAAGAGGTTGGAAACCACTAATGTACAGCATACAGAGCACACACAATTGTTCTCTATTGCCAGTGTGACATTTTATTCATTAGCAAAGCCTTTTAGCACTGTCCCAATCACCCAAAACCATGCTGCCCCATTCATTTTGATTCATCATTGATTTTGTCAATGGGATAAAATCAATATTTTGTTGTAGAAGTACATCGTATTCATGTTTAGGTTTGTGCAATTAATTAGCTACGGCAATTTTATGACCTTATTTTGAAAACTAGCTAAAGTTTGTCATTTTCATCATCTTACGTTTGGCAGTGTCAGCTTCCCTGTTTGATGCTTGCCCTGCCCACCTATGTGATGTCCAATGAGGGCATGCAATTTTGATTGTGCGGTTTCACAACTGGTGCTCAGCAAAAAAAGTTATTATTTTTATTCATCAGGCAAGAAAATAAACCTGTTTAGCAATACTCTCCCCTGTCCCAATCACCCTTATTTCACTCTAATGAAGTTGTCTCAGCAGTCATGTATAAGTGATGGAGTAGTTTGCAACCTAAAGCCCAGGATATCTAAATTCACCAGCCACCGTTTGAGAGAACACTTTGCCAAAAAAAAGGACACTGCAGTCTTGGAAAGGTCTGTTTAAAATAAACGGCAGTTCTTTTGGCATTTTGTTTCCGAACACAACGAACTTAATGTATTTTGAGGTGTGGCACAAATGTCCAAACACTTTGGACCACTGTTTATGCTGCTAAAAAACCACAAAGAACTGATCAGACACTGTGCCTTTTCTACAGTGTCACAAACTCTACTTTTTATAAGTGAAAACTCCAATCATCTGAAAATGCAAACATTAACATATTAAAATAAAGCACATTTTCTGTCACTTATTATTTTTGCTGTATCGGAGAACGTACTGCATCAAGTCACCGCCGTATCGTATCGCATTTTGAACGTCATGAATCGCTACATCCTTATAAGTTTGAATCAATCAACAACATTAAAAAGACAAATCTAGGTAATGTATTCTGGCTCCCCATGAAAACAAAGAACTCGCTCCCAACATGGCAGCCACAGGCTTCGCTAAAAACATGGCTCAATTTCCCCAAAGCATCTTATAGTATTAAAAATCCTCTTAACTGGTAGAGAGAGTGTTCAGCGTGATGCTCGCTCAACCATTTCAGAATCATCTATATGCTAAGATGCTTTTGAGAAACACAACAGGCTATCAACACATCGACTTACTTCCTCACTTCCTCAGGGTTTTGATGGAGAAAGCCTGTTGTTTGATACAGACTCGATATTTATACTGTGGCTCTAAGTGAAGAAGTTATTTTAACAATGTGGAAACAACCTCCACAACCCCAACCTCTCAGAGAAACCTCTCCTCCTCTTCTCTTCTCCGCCTCACCGGTTTCTTCTTCTGTGGATTAAGACGGATCAAACTGTGTGAGCATGGCGCCACCTACCGGACTACTGTTTAATAAACTCACTAATGATGTTTCTTCTTCTCTGTTCCTGGAAGCAGGATGACAATATTTCACAACAAATAATCACATATTTTCTTAATTTTGACTCAGTGTGTCAGAATGATTCATTTTCTTAAAATGTTGAATTACTAAGTCGAAATAATGACTTATTACCCATAATGAGTTCAATAAATCATTATTTCTAAGCAGAATGTTGGAATTTCTTCTTAAAACTCTAATCGTTCGAGATATTAAGTACGTCAAGTGAAAATTCTGCGAAAGAATTAATTATGTACAAATTCTAAGCCAAAATTTTGAAAAAGTAATTCTGTCAAGATCATAAGTCAAATTTTGGAGAACATAAAAACGGCTTCACAAACACAAACATTACCCTGAGTTGCGCAGGGCTGCAACTAACAGGAAACTTTTTTATACTGCTCTGGAGAAGTTACCCACCCCATTACCTCATCTCACCTGATCTGTCTTACTGTCAAATGCAACTCTGACTTTTGAATTGATTTTCACTGAATTTTATTATAACTGTAACAATTTTGTACCTTTTACATACACTTTTTTTTTTGGTTAGCTTTGGCTTTCTGTGACAAACACCTTTATTTTTATTTGAAAAGTGCCATGTTAGCCATCTTTAGCCATTTTAGTTCACTGTAATTTATCAATATACTATTACATAAAATAAATAAATAAATAAATCAGTGGCCTTAAGCTATTGCATTTGATTGCACCATGATCCATAAGTTAAAACATGGATAAAAAATAAAGTTCAAAACTAGGTCTCTTTGTGTGTGCAGGCCAAGGTTCTTAGAAGATGGCCAAGTGTCCCTATTATGGACACAATTTGTGTACAGCAGGACTGAGCAGTGTGGTTAAAAAACACAGTGATACAATTTGCAGAACTCCGGGACAGAGCATAACCACATTCACACAGAGGCCTGCACGTACACACAGAGGCCTGCACGCACAGAGAGAGAACCAACACAGCATAATGTGATAAACTATGGAATCAGATCAACCCTAAATAATGAAGTTACTCTTTTTCCACCCATATTCATAATTTTAAGAAAATCTTCCACAAAACTAAGTAAAACAAGAAAAAGTCATTATTTCAACATACTGGACCTGCTAATAAAACCAGCATAGATCAGCATATTTGGTCACCAGCTAAATCAGCAGACGTTGTGCTTTGGGTACTGGTATGCTGGTATGCTGGTCAATTAGCATGGCCATACTGGGTGACCAGCTCAACCAGCACCAGACCAGCACTAGGATAAGCTGGCTTAGAAGCATAGAATTCATTGCTTCTTTTTCTGCATGGAGATCAAAATTTTGAGAAAATAAGATATTCTTTT